TCAAGATTAACCCAAGGCAGGTTTGATGCTGAAGTACTTCAAGAAAGAAGTAAACACAAAGCAATAATTAGAGACATTCCCAAGTTAGCAATAGAGACAGCCTTTCTTAAACAAATCAAAGATACAAAAGCAAAGGCTGTATATATTTTCAAAAATAGAAATGGCAATCAACGGCAAATAGCAAGCATTTATTTTGCAAGTGAAGAAGACAAACAGATGGCATGCAAATACCCAGTATACTACTACAATACAAAACTAGACTGGGTGGTGAAGAACAAAGAAAATCAACGAGAAGAAACAGATACATTTGTTTCAAGAAACAGTATAAAGAAGGTAGCAAAAAGCTCTACAGAAAACAAAGAAAATGAATTTCTCCTCGAATGTCAACTAACACACAAGGTCTCAAATAGCAAAAACCAAACTAACAAAGAACTGAGAAAGCCCCTAGTAAACAAACCAAATGCAAAAAGTGCTAGAAATTCTAAAATCTACACAGCCAAAGAACCTTTATCTAAGAAAGAGAATATAGAAATAGAGAGTCTCCTAAGTCAAATTTTGAGCAGACTTAAAAATCTAGAAATTAAACAGGAACAACGAATAAACAATACTGGAGGAGAGACCCCAAACCGCTCCTAAAAGTAGCCAGGGTACCTATAAGAGTCAAAGCGAGATTGGAGGCTCGCATATACCAAATATAGATGTAGACAATTCTCCAAAAAATATTAAACAATACTAGAAATATTAAATATCAGCTATCACAATATTAACGGGCTTAAGGCAAACAAAGGTAGATTTGATTTACTTATGAATTTCGTAAAAGAGAAAAAAATAGATATTATAGGGCTAGGGGAAACCAACATCTCCGAAATTGAAAGTTCTTTTCTTACTAAAAAATATAAGAGATATCATAGCTTTTGGACAACAGTAGATGAACAAAAGCAAAAAGGGTCAGAAGTAGAAATTATTATAGAAAAAAGATGGGAAAACTATATATCTGGAGTAAAAAGTATTAACCCATATATATTAGAGTTAAGGCTTGATTTTAAAAGACTAAAGCTATATATCATCGTCATGTATGTAGAACCTAATAATCAGGGATACAAGAAGAGATATACAAATATCTAAAAGAAAGATTAGATACTCAAGAGCACAAACCAATCAGTGGCATAATTTTGGGAGATTTTAATATAGACACTCTAGCAATAGAAGAAAACCAAATAAAGGAAAAAGAAAAAGCGCTATAACAAACACCAAAAAACAAGAAAAAACAAATTATAAATCTTATAGAAAAAAAAAATCTGGTTGATACACTCAAGATAGCGAACCCCCAGGAACATATAACAACTTGGGCAGGCAGAGGTAGTGAAACAAAAATCGATTATATCTGGGTATCTCAAGGCTGGAGCAGAAGTATAATTACAAGCAAAGCATATAAAGCTGAGCATATAATAGCAAGTGATCACAAGTTACTTTTAGCCAAAATAGAAACAGAATTATACAAGAGAAAAGTGCCTTTTGCAAGACTTCGCAAAAAAGATCAAGCTAGGGCCTATATAGATCTTAAAAAAATAACTGAAGAGGATTGAAACAATTATAAAGAAAAACTAGAAAAAGAATTAAAGAAACTCTTCAGAAATAAAGAAAAAGGTAAAAAACAACAACAACTACCTAGTATAACAAACTTACAAAAAAATATAGACCTCGATAAAACCTGGGAAAAAATACAAAAAGCAATTCAAAAAGTGGCAAAAAGTA